CGCCTCGCCGTGTTACAAGACAAGAAAGAAAGAGGGCGAGGAGGACTTTTCGCCAGGCAGAAGAATATTTCTGCTGGTCCGCCTTTAAGCAATGCCTATAACATCATTTATAGTGTTGCCAAAGCTCTTGCTCTAATAAATATGCCACAATACAGTTGAATTATGTTTAAATTAAAACAGAATTTTCCAACCGCAAAACCCTAAAAAATTAGGCTTGTGAAAAGAAGGCGTTCAAGTGGCCCACAAGCCAGTGTCCACACTGGGACGGATAGTGCCAAGACCGAAGGACCGACTACCAAGACAAAGGGCACAGGGCATGGTAGACAAGATCCCATGCAGAGAGAGCCCAGCCACCTACATCCGCGAGACAAAACTTTCACGAAAGAATGCGCCAGCAAAAGAATGGCGTGCGTAACTTCGACCGTGAACTCAGCGCAATTGCTGAACACTGCGAAGCGCGTGACTATCTGATTGATTTCCCTCATGCGCGCGTGATTGACACCGAGCGAAATTTCCGAAAAAGTGTTCTTTTGGAACCTTGGCATATTCAGTGGACGTTAGGAATCCTCAACAGATCCCTAGGTGCACGTGCTAGGTCTGCGTCACGTTACACGAACAGTGACGTTTAGCCATGTTAGACAAGTGCAACCACCATTCCCACAGCCGCCTTTGTGGCTCGAAGAAAAGCGCCGGCCTACGTATCCCCACGTGGTAGGTTCGAATCACCGCCGAGGTGCCCGCAATCTGACGGGGGCTTATAGCAGAGAAGGCGCGTGTAGCCGAGCTTTCGGTTGCACGTCAATAGATCCCCGAAAATAATCCTTGGTCTTTCGCTGGAGTGTGCCAGATGCCCATCGTTGGTTTGGCACATAAGAAAACCCCAAATTTGGCTTTGATTTCACCACCAAACCCACAGCTATTTTTGACAGCCCATCAGCTTGTGATAAAGCTTAAACCTAATTTGAAACCGAAACTAGAGTCAACGAGATTTTGGCACATAATTCTTCGCACTAAATTTAATTTCTTGACAGCGCTTGGAGACCATTGATCACCATAAGCTGATGGCTTATGGGTGCGGTCAGGAAAGAGTTAAATTAGGCTTACATGAAATCTGGTACAATTAATGGTGAAACAATTCATTTTTTTTTATGCAGAATAGATACTGATCAGGATGCTTTGTTTTCTCAAGTTCAAGGAAATGTTTTGGAAGACAGTGTTGATGGTAGAAGTGCAAAGTGTACCACCACTGATTGGGTCTAGATTATTAAGTTCATATTGCTGTAACATGAAGATTTTCTGATGTCTATTCACCTGGTGAACATCAGGAAACAAATACTGTGCCAACAAGGCCATTAAACTAGAAGTTCCTGTTTCTCAAAATTGAAATGCAAGAGTTGCATCATAGAAAAGTGATACAATGCATAGACAGACTATAATATAACTGCAAGGATATCTACTTGCCTCAATTACTATGAAATGAACATGCCAATAGATTTACTCCGGACCCATTATAGTTTCTAGACATCTGTGGGTTGTCCTCAGAAAAAATTCTCTGCCCATAAAAGTGACCTGCAGTAGAACCTATATAGAGCAAGAACAATTTTTTCGCAAACAAATTTCACTATATCAGTATTAATACATACCAGTGCTTTCACTACCTATAGGACATCTTTTTTCTTTTTTTCAGTCAGTCCAGAATTTAAAGAAAAAAAAAAAAAACGTTTGTTTTAGGTGCTGGCTATGGTGGCCACTAGACAAGAAGTGAATTTGGTTAATTAGTTAGCTAATTAACAAAAATGTTTTATTAACTTTTGAAATTTTTAGTCGAGCACATAAAGTATACTGGGAGGATGGACTCTTGGCCTAAATACGGTCAAGCTGTGCCATTAATTTTTTGTTAAAAAATAAGTAGGGAGCTCTACAAGACAAGGAATGTCGCACTTGTACATGGCCTCGAACCAAAACTAAGCGGCCGAAGAACGCCAGTGATATCGATCCCTCCGAGGCCAGCAGCGATGGCTCCGCTTTTTTCCCACTTTCAGTTTGAATTCACGCACCAGGATGACATTTATCACTCTATCTTGCCCACTACTAACAGGGTGTCTAGCGACCGGGAGAACCGGGAATTGTCAGGAATATTGTCAGAAAATGAGCCCAGTCAGGGAAAATGAGGCGGAAACGCCATCGAGTGCCCTGAGCAAAGATTTGAGGACTTAGGGGCAGGAAAATAGGCAATAAATTCTGCTTGGAGCGGAGCGCAAGCTCTGCTCCCCCGATGTAGAGTGTGCTACCCAATGCAAAGAGGACAGCCGACAAATTTAGTCCAAGCTTTGGATTACGTTGGATTGAGAGCTCGACACTAGGCCAGATCGAGTTAGAGGTACTAGATTTAGTAACAAATGAAAAAGCTGTAGAGCCAAATCCAAGCTTTAAGCCGAAAGTGTTTGAAAGTGTGCTTCTGGCGGCCATGCTGCCATTCATTTATTGACGTGTGTGGTTGAGCGTCGTGTTTTCATTGTGTTTGAAGTGGCCTCTTCTCTGACTATGTCGGCAGCAAGAAAGTGCTTGTTTCATCTGGACTGGACGAACCCAAATATTTCGGAATATGCAAGTTGGATTAAGCCCATGCAAAATGATCCTCACAGTGCTCAATGCCTTGTGTTGTAATGGTCTTGTATATTTAACCGCCTCTACAGTGGTCAGGGAATTTCACCTGAATTTTACCTGAAATTGTCAGGGAAAACCTGGAAAAGTCGGCGAATTTCAAAATAATAATTTGCTAGACACCCTGATTGATTGCTTAATCAAAATTTTTTGGCACAACCATACTGTGTTGAGGTTCAGCGTTCAATCTGCAAATACATGACGCCCTGAAACGTTCAAATTTTGGAACGTAATTAACAGTTTAGCGTATTAGCTAACTAATCATAGGCAGATTCAAGTGGGAGGAAGCAATGCCCTCCTTCTTAGCCCCCAGGGTCAACTTTTTTTAGTGCGAAAAGCGACACACACCAGCTTTTTTTATGAAGGAATGTTTAGTTTCCGGTGACACAGCACATGTTAGGTCAACAAAATAGATCTAGGGAACGCTTTGCCCGTGACATCACATATGTCGATGGCGCCATCTCTCTGCAGTCCCCCTCACCAGCCAAATGCTCGCTCAATCCTGAGCCATAAATCCACCCCTGTAACAAATTAACCAATTTTTCATGATTTATAGTGACTGCCATGGGCATTAATTAACTTGGCCCTAGGGGTACAACAAACCCTCAAGCAAGTTCCCTTTGTTTAAGAAATTTGGACTGACTAAGAAAAAAACATTACCATAAGGTTTTGTAAGGGCGCCCTCCCCCAAGAGATCGCCCATTCCTTTTTTCTAGCTAAACATCTGTAACATAAAAATTCCGAAACTTCGCCCATCCCCTAATTCTTGTTGGACGTCATGTGATGTCCAACAGAAAACACATCAGCCGAGCAACCTGCGGTACCGGTACGCCCGACAAGCGGATTCGTAGCAGGTTTCCGTGTTTTTGTCTGCGGGAACTCGCGGACAAGTAAAAAAGAATATCAGAACTCTACATATTAAAAACATCAGCCAGTTCGAATGTCGTAACGCACATTATCAAATTTGATAGTGGCGCGTTGATGTGCTAAAAAAAAACATTCTCGTGCCTTCCATATACTAATTTACGCAGAGACCTAATTTTCACGAATCGTCTAACACGGGAAAAGTTTGGTTGTACTAACAGGTCAGGCAAAACATCGGTTTTATGTGAGAAACATTGAAGTTTCGTTCAGCATTAGTTTAAACTCGCACAATCGCGCATCTGTAGGAATTCCGTGTAGGTTCCCCACCAATAATATCTTAAAAATATAATGAGCTGCAAGTCAGAACCACACCTACCTGAACAACATTATTCCACACCTTCGCTGACATTTTTTGCTGAAGTACAGTCGGGTTGTACTTTGCCTTCACACTCTTGAGAACTCTCGACGAGAACGACGCTAGAATCACGCTTTCGGTTGAGCAAAATAATGTTCCCTGTAGACACAAGCAAAGCCCGGCGACCTCATCACCACCATCTGTAATGCCTCGATCCTCCATCTCGGGTGAAAGCACAAAATAAAAATTCTCACTCTTTTTTCTTGAGGAGAATCTGCTTGTGACAGTGGTCACAAGCAGATTGTACCCTACAATGTACTTAGCTACAAAGTTTACCAACCTGTCAAAGACATTCATTGTTTTCTTCAAACATGTACTCAAGAACAATGTTCGAAGTGCATTGAATAAAGCCAATGCGAACCCTCATTCTTACTTTGATGACCTTCCGGAGAGCTGTACTTAGTTTTTTCACAATCGCTTGTCACTCTTCGAAGAGGCTTGAGGATTTTCAATAATGTCCACCTTGCAAAGTTTAGTCCCCCCAAAATAAACCGGAAGTCTAGGTCAACCAGATAAGGGAATCAAGCTGTCTAAAGAAGAAAATGTTTTTCGTAATTATTTTTATGCTTAGACCATGTCACTCTTACCAACTGACAGAAGGTTTTTACCGTCCATAAAGCACTTTGCTTTCATATGTAGCACAGATTCTACGCTGCAGCGCAAGAAATTATGGTGTTTCGCGTGCTGAAAGATGAAACTGACCTCCTTTCATTCGCCGTTTTGCGTGGCTGGCGTCGCCGATAATCGGCTCCACATCGCGAGGCCACTTGCTCTGGCTACGAGTTTAGGAGATGAAGGCTGCTCGTTTTTCTCACATTTCTTTTCTGCGACTGTCGTTGCGGGAAGGCAAAATAAAAATAATGCGTGTTTCATGGGTTACGAAGGGCAAGGAACAATTCTAGGCAGAATTTATTGAAAGTACAAAATTTATTGCGTCTTCCCTTTATTTTGAACGAAAGTTTTCCGCCATCTCATTTTAACTTTGGGAGCCATCCGGGAGCGAGTGAAATAGGAACGCGACGTGAACTGTGTGCCACCCTTTCCCACTCTGTTTCAGCGCAACCATCAACAAGGGCATCGGGGTGGAGAACATCCACTACCTCAACGACGGCCTGTGGCACATGAAACCCGTGAAGTGATGTCGTCGTGCCAGGCGTGCTGCGCCAGGACGGCTCCCCGGGTGAAAGGACCGCCAGTAAAACTGTGATTGTGCAAACGCCTCCAGCATCCGTGCGCTTCTTCGTCGGAGAAGCACTCGCATAATCTGCGAGGAGATCTAGAGTCACCCACAGAACGTAAACCCTAGGGCTTGCAGAATGCTGGCGTTCAAGCAGACGGGGGCTTTTTATTTTACGGCGATAGCTGTTGTGGGCTCTTCCCGCTGCTGGAAATGACGTTTGTTGTTGATGTTGTAGTTATTGATGTTGTTGTAGTTGGCGATGTAGGGCGTCCGTCGTCAGTGTTGCCAAATCCTCATAACGGATTCCTTCCTGCCCTTGGGAACTGAACCTGGGTTTGCTGTACGCGAAGCAAAGGCGTTACTACCGAGCTTCGCCACAGCGTTGACAACCCGCTCTACACTCAAGATTTTTGTAGTACCCAATGGCCACTGCTTGCGCTCTCTGGAAAAATAATGCAGCCGAAAACAAAATGCCGTCGTAGGACTGTCAACGCCAAAAGCATCTTCTCTTCCTAACCTCAATTTGTTCGTGCTGGCTTTCGGTAGGCGACGTAGCAGGGCCTCGCTGTCTAATGGGAGTTAGTACGGGTCGAGAAACAGACCGTCCTACACTGTCGCCCTTGTGGCGGTTGAAACGTGCACCCAGTGACTGAGGACGCGGTGGCAGTGCCGAGAAAATAATTGCGGTGGAAACGCGAGAGAACCTGCATGGTTGCTTAACGTATATACCACTACAAGCGTGACATTACTGCGACGTCGGGGGGGGGGGGGGGGGGAAATTGCGATTGTGGGTGGATGGACGAGGCAGAACCGCTTCGATCACTTACCATGGACCCTTTCTGAAATTCAGTCTGGCGACTTGGGTCGCCACCAGCATCTGGGTGTGCGGTATCTACGGCACGCTAATGATGGCTGTCCGGCGGCTGATGCGAAAAGATTTGTACGATCCGCACTGAAGCTGTTGGCGCGAAACGTGCCCGTTTAGACGTCGGCCCGTTCTAGACATCGGCCCGTTACAGCGCGCAAATTGGGTACGAACAGTGCGTCGGCGTTTGTGGTAGGACATCCGTACTGTCCATCGGTTGGCGTTTGCTCGGCCCGCAGTTGGCCGCGTGTGGCGAATTTGATCGGGGGCTTTAATTGGGCCGCCGCATCATACAGACCGGTAATTTTTTTGTTGCTATCAACAGTGAAACAAATCAAGAAAGAAGTGGGGTGCACGCAACATATCACTAACTGGTGGGCTTGCCTCGCCCAAAAAGTGGTCTCTCGATTCCTACCTGACAGCGTTGTGGAATAGTGGGTAGACCTTGAGGCAGTTAGCATTGAGGTCTACCCACCATCCTTCCAATCAGAGCCAATCGAAGCTCGGCGTTCCGACGTCACCGCGAACCCTGCGCAAGATGTGGACAAACTTGCGCTCTGCATAGCCAAGAACATATTCCCATCTGCCACTGATGTTCAAAAGCCATCGACGTACAAAAGTGACGGTGTCCCAGTTTTAAATGCCACGTTTTCACCGCCATTACCGTGAAAAATGTTACGCCGGTATTATAAGTCGCTAGATGCCACTGGTTTTTCAGAAAGGATCTGTTTGCACAAAATTAGTCGCACGAAGTGATGGACAGAATGACGAAACATTTTGAAAACGCTACTGAGACACTCCGTCCAGTGTCCGTCTAGTAACAAGGTCTGTGAAAATGCACATTCGTGGGATTGCTCGTGATTGTGCAGGGTTACTATCAATATGTTTTAAATTAATTGAGCCCTAAGCCGGAGCACCCACCTTTCTGAACAATTTTATTCCGCGATTCCTGCTGAAGTGTTACTGGATCTTATTGCCCTTTGGCGCTTCAGCGAGCGTTCAGCATTAACTGCTGCAATGGCTCTTTTATTGGCAAATGCCAACGATTGCTTGCTAACTGCAGATCAGGCAGGTTCAGGCGATGTTTGAGATCGGCTGGGGTTTGTTTGCTGGTGTGGAACAGTTCAGTAACGGCATCATAGAAGGCAGACTTGCTGGTGCAGGGAAAACTGCCAAACACTCGGGTGCAGTTCTAATTATCTTTTTTGTACGGTTATTACGAGGCAGGTATAATTTCAGAAGCAAATATATTGATATCTGCGTTTTTCTTCCGTCGATTCTAACATAAAGTTGTTGAATGAAGTATAGAGATTTTTGAGGCGATGCTGTTAAAACTCTGCATGTGATATTTTTAATTTCACATCGAGGAAAGTTAGGACAAGACATGGTCCTACAGTCTCGCTGGAGGGGTATGGAGGCACAATGGGAAGAAAGCCGGAAAAGCGGGGCCTGCCTGCCTAAAATCGAGAAGTTTGATTACTTCACCTTTGAGCCCTCTTCAACGACCTTGGGGAAAGACGGCAGCATGCCCATGCTCGTTGCTGAAGGCCTCTTGCTCGAGCCCATGAGCCTGGAGCTCGAGCTGTCCCCCTACCGTGCGATGGAGCACCCACAAACATTACCACATATGCTTCGGGAGTTTGGATCCGACCTCACTGGCATGGCTGGCATACGTCTCCACAGCCAGCTGTACGAGCATGCACCTGTAGCGACTTTCGTGAACCCATGTCTCACGCTAAGGCCCATCACAAACGGGTTTTGTGACCAGAAGGCCTTTATATCGACCACAGTGATAGGGCCGTCGCGTGGTCCTTAATAAAAAGAGACTGCGCATCATGCAGCGAGAGGAATGGCCTGTCTGGCAAACATAGTTTGGATGGTGCATGTTGATAGAAAGCAGCAGCCCATCGAAGCTAGTCGACCTGAGTCTTTGAGTGTGTCGGTATAGCCCATGCGCTTGTGCCGCTTCCTCGGCATTTAGGGAGCTCTGGACTTGTAGCTGGAACGATTTATGCAACATTTTAATAGCCTCCTTGACATCCTAACTAGGTTGGACCCTCCACCGAAAGTGTCGGATAAAGCTTTGTCCACAGAATGACTCCAACAAGGGAAGTTTACCTTCAAGGACATTCTTACCTGTCCTTGCTGAATTTTGTTCAGCTAGCTGCACTGCTTAAAGGCTGACCTACAAAATTGTGTTTTTCCGGTAAGAAAACCGGTTTCCTTTTCTCTCTTTCCTCTCCTCCTCCTCTCCCCACAGAAAGGGGTCTCTGAGCTACTCTCTGCAGAAAGGATTAGGGCCTCCCTCTTTCTCGAATGGAGAGGAGGAATTGAGGGAGTGTCTCCTTCTTTCTGGCTGCTCCTCGGCCTTTAACAGCAATTGCAACCGGCTTTCTTATATTAAGGATGGGCAAGAAGAGTCTGCTATCCCTCCGGAACTTCCTAGGTATTGAGAAGCTGCTGCTGTAATACTTGCCGGTGCACAAGATTAGCTGAGGTCACCTGAATTTTTTCATGCTGCTATACTTCGTTTCAGCTTCCGTCCGAGCGCAGCCAAGGCTGCGTGTGGCCTGAGCCAATCACACGCCGGCAATAGGTCACATGATCCCGCTTGCACTTTTGTATCACTCCTCTGCGCCGCTGGTCGTCCGCGCCGCCCACGCTCGCCGAGTATTTCGTCTGCTACAGGTTTAAAAAGTGCCCTTTCACATTCTGAAATTTAGTCACAGCGGATGTCAGTACATAGGCTAGCCGCTGGCGTCTGTGTCCGAGCTTTCCATCTCTTCGTCATTTCGGCATAGTTTCGAGGTGCGAGTACACATTGCAAGGTGCCCGATGACCCGACAAGACAAACACTGGCCTGCGGCGCCCAAGGGATACCAAGGGCACTGCCCCCCAGCCGTGGTGGGGGGGGGGTCTGGTTGAACCCTTAGCCGAAACATCCTTTACGTTTGAGCACGCCCCGTTTCAACTCATTGGTATAAGTTCCCGCACATCTCTACCTCTTCGCAAGAAGTCTCCATTTTTCTCACCGTGGTTGGCACACATTTGTTTTGAAATAATATTAATGCAAAGGTGCAGGCGAGCTATTTAGTTGTGTTCTGAAATATTTTTGCATGTCAAATATATTTCTACTTGAACCACTTAAAATGTTTCTTTCAATGTGGTCTCCAAAATGTATAACTACGAAACGGACTATGTACGCTGCACAACAATGTTATGGCAAACACGACGGTGGCGGTTTTTTAAATTTTACTTCGAAATGGTGTCAGAAGGTAGCAAATTTTACTGCTTAGGTTATTGGCCCAGATGAGTACTTTCAAAGACACTAATAATATTAGTGGCAGTCTTTTGATTCTTTGAGGCAAACAGCAAAAACCAACAATCGCTCGTTTGCGCTAACAGTGTTGCGCTCTGTGCCACGACGAAATCTTAGAACGTGACGTAGGCGCTATTTGTGACGAAGCGCTTTGAGTGAGCTCAAAATAGCGGCGTCTTAGGTTTTATACTGCAACACTATTTTTAGGCTACGCAAAGCACTTGCATACTATCACAATCAATATGAGTGCGAACACCGCTCCGCGTGGCCCACGGTACTGCTATCAGTGCCCTCTGGCGATTGCTCTATGAAGCATCAGTGCATCTTGAGGTCAAGACATGTCGTTTCTAGTGATCACCGCACCACTCTGCACTTCCGGGTCGTCTGCTAGCGAAAAACGGTCGGCGAAACTGTTCACCGATGACGAAGTGTAATTTTCGCTAGCAATGTGCTCCAGGAGGAATTACTTGTGTATTTATAGCGTCATTTTTTTTATTATGAAGTTTTAGTAAATTATTCTCATGACTCCGATGACAATACCCGATACTTCGCCTACGCTTTTAAGCATGCATCATATTGTTATCGGAGGTATCAAGACAATAAACTAAGACTGCCTATTATTTACTTCCCGTAAGTTTTGCGAGAGCAAAGGACCACCGATGCGCATAGGCAAGAAGTTAGCACGGTGCGAGTGTAGGTGATACCCTTCATCATAGAAAACAGCGCAATGAAAACAAGGACGAAGACACACATTAAACATCCTCGTCGTTTTTTTTGCGCTGCTTTTTTTCGCTAGCAGACGACCTGGAAGTGCAGAGTGGTACGGTGGTCGCTAGAGACAATATGTCTCAA